CTGAACAGAGACAAACAGTCCCCAATGAGCTAGAGGAGATTAGCACGTCTCTGTCTGCTGCTCGCCTGCAGCTGCTCTTTACACAGCGAACTAATCTCAGGGCTCCGTTTTTAAGCTCGACCTGCTACTGCTGCTGATGACAGGGACGTCTCTAGAAAGTTTTTAAAGAGGGGTCGCTAATACAAAACAGAAGTGAACATTGTTCTGTGTCGTTTTCATCATACAGAAGTTGGATTTTTAAAGAAAGGTTCACTATTAAGGATATAAAAGTAACACTGAATCATCAAAACTTCTCTTCATTTTTTGTAAAAACATATTTATTCAAAAATATATATAAACATAAGAGGTATGCTGCAATTTTGGGTTTCCAGATACAAGGTAAAAACCTAAATCTTTCCTCAGGATAAGTCAGTATTTTTTCTATTCATCCAAAAGGTCGGTTAGTTACTCCTTTGATGCATTTAATGATAAATTGTCTGTGTACTGAACAGATGTATTCATCAATAGAAATATGTAGGCTGAAATGTATATATTTCTTGCAAATATTGTGGTTTTCAGTAATGAAAATATATACTGTGATAAACAACATTATAAGTGAGATAACAGAAGGTTTTATGAGATTATTTTTGCTGGAATGGAGCCATTTATTTGTGATTTTAGCACAAAACGTTTTTTAGCGGTGAATGAGGAACAGAAAAATCAGCCCAGAGTTTCAGCTTTTTAAATGACTGTAGTCGTCTCTTTCTTTAATCCGAACACAAGCACGGCTCCATTTAAATGTTACGTTAGTTTCAGATAAAACTATTTGTTTTTACACACAGGTGGATTTTAATAAATAAGAATTTTGATCGCATTTATTGCAGCAAATCAAGCATAATTTTGTTTTATCAATATGACTCTTTTACAGATTAGTTATACAGATTAGTGGTGTGTTTGAAGGGTCTGATCCTGTTAGTTTAGATGATCAGGATTTATAGATGATGAGACCTTAAATTCAGTATCTCAGTAAATTTAAATAAGAAAAAGGTATCCTTAATGCAAAAGCTTGAGTAATTTCAATCATCTGCACAGTTACTCTAACAATACTTAATGCATGGTGGTTCTGATGAGGTGTTCAGGTTACTGGTCATTGGTATTATTGGTTCTATTCTCTCATTTTTCCCATAAAAATACAAAATAGATTCACTGCAGGGTTCAGATCAGTCCGGTCATCAATCCACAGAAGCACAGAACCATCATGGCCCACAGATCAGTCTTTGGTACCATTGGCAGTGTGGACAGGGCCAAGTCCTATTGCACGGTGACAGCAGCATTTCAATAAAGCATGTCAACAGAAGTGGATATTAATGGCTCTAAGGTAGGTATATTCAAAATCGGTCCAGGAGAGCCGCTGTCCTGTTTTAGAGGTTTCCCTGCTTTAGCACAGCTGATTTCCATTGATAGCTGATTAACAGGCTTTTGCAGAACTGCAATCATCAGAATCAGCTGTTTTGAAGCAGAGAAACCTCTTTAACCTGCAGGACAGTGGGCCTCTAGGACTGACTGGACACGCCTGCTCTAAGGTCTCCTGGTAGATCTTTGCATTGCCTTTAGACCTCACAGCGTAGCAGCTTTAGCAGATGATCCAACTCCCTAACTCAGGAAAGACACCATCAAACACACCTAGCAGTATTTTTCTCTCTGGGTAAGATACTTCTTATGTCTCTGGTTCAGCAGCTAACAGTTCAAGTCCATGTCCTAGATGGGTCTGTTTGGAACTGACTCTAGCAACAGACTACATCCTGTGATTCTCCCCCAAAACCTATGGAAGTGACTTTGCTTCATAATCCTCTAAAGCAGTGGTTCTCAAACTTTTTCTGTCATTCCCCACTTTGGACAAGGGGGAATTTTCAAGCCCCACCTGTCCCCATCGCCCCAACACAATGGTAATGAAATATGCAACAATCTTAAAATGTTCCAATTTTATTGAACAAGTAGTATCTAAATACAAACTATCTACATCAAAAGCCAGCAAGCTCAAAAATAAAGAAAATAAAAATGCAGCTGTGTCAAAATTTGTATCAAGCTCAAAGATAGAAAAAATTAAAGTTCCACTCTGCAATCTGTTAATAAAAGAAAAGAAGTGAAATCCATCTGGCAAGACAGGTCTATTTATCCCTGCATTAGTGGCTGCAATGAGCCTGTTTTGCATTGCACAGTTTCTCAAAACGGGGTTGCAGGCTTGATACTGCCACTCTCAAGTCATGCTCAATGTTCAGCTGAGATCTGTATTTTGTTTTCAGTGAAGCAACAGCTGAAAAGTCCATCTCACAGAGATATGATGTGGCAAAGGGAAGAAGAATGCACACAGCTCTCTGCCCGATGAGTGGATACTCCCTCTCCACTCCAAACCAGAATTCACTATTAGCCTGAGCATTAAACCTGAGCCTCAGGGTGGAGTCAGACGTCATTTCAATAAACTGGTCCTATTTATTTAAGATAAAATATTTCAAATTCAGTTAATTATCATCAACCTGCGCCGTCAATCCCGGCGCACGTGCGCTTTATTTGCAGTCTGGACGCTGAGGGTAAACATGCTGTGTCTCTGCAGCGCTGAGAGGGACTCCTGTGATAGCGGGGGAGAATGGGGTGGGGAGGGAGGAGGCGCCCCACGGCAGCACCTGCCGCTGGAGGACAAGAAAAGGAACGATACGTGCTTTCACGTAAGAGTCTCCAAAAGTCCCTCGATTTGTCGCTAGTCGCTTTTTTGAAAAAGAGTCGCTGGAGGGGTCTGAAATATAGCGACAAAGTTGGCAACACTGGGGCGCGAAAGTTTATTCCGTTACAAATAATATGCCGACGTCACGTCAATCATTATTTGGGCACTTCAGTTCCAGGTGAAATTTTTCTCATATCTAATGTTCTTTTAATTAGACTGCATGTAGGCTAGTAAGGATTACTTTGTGGGTTTGATTGGTCTAAAAAGCGGCAACATACAGCTATAAGGACAGTTTGCTCTCACAAGTTCTACATTTATAGTCACACGACACACACACACACACACACACACACCGGAACTTGGCGCGCCCCACCTGTCACGTCTCAATTCCCCACCAGTGGGTCGCGCCACACACTTTGAGAACCGCGGCTCTAAAGACTGCAGTTAATCCCAGTGCTTGTTTTTAATCACATCTCTACCTTCTATCAAACTTTCCATTATCTTCATGTACAGCCCTCCACCAGCATTAAGCCTCATTTGTAAGGACGAGGACTCTCAGACAGGCAGGCGTCATCCCTGTTAACTTGTGGCCATTGCTCTGCAACCTGCAGCACTGGAGATGAAAACAGCCTCCTTTGATGTCCACAATGACCCTTAAAAACTTTAGTTACAAAAAAAATAGTAACATTTATAGTATTTATAAATAACAAATGGAGGTTTTCTCTGTTTATTTTCCATTTTCAATTGAACTTCTCAAAAGAATGACACTAAAAGTACCAGTAAATATTTTCAAATGCTCATACATTTGGGATGGAAACCATATTTGCAGAAATAAAAATTGATACCATAAAATGTTCATTTTTAGTGATAGTTTTGTATTTTTCTTTATTTCAAATCCTAAACTTAAAGTGGCTATTTTTTGTGCAACATTTGCAGCTAATCACAAATTGATGCATCTGGATTTAAAATGTAAACATTTTTTATTTGTCTCGTTAAATTATTATTCTTTTAAAGTTTAGGTATAAAAGTTTGAAGTAATAACACTAAGAAGACCATTACTGTCATGCTTGTGCAATAGCTTTATAAGAAAATGTATTCAGGTTATAATAGTTAAGCTGCAATAAAAACATTTCTTATGATGTTCTATTTAACTGGATGCTAGTATAAGTTTGTCTGTCAAGCCTGCAGAAGAATAATTTAGAGCAGAGGTCAAGGATTAGCGGACCGCGGTCCAGATCTGGACCCACCTGCTGGCTAATCTGGACCCAAACCTGATTTAAAACATTTATAAGTTACCGAATGTTGTCCGACAACAGTGTCTAATTTCACTAGCACCGCTTCTCCTGTTTGTAAGGTAAAGCCCTCCAGAGTTTCTGGGAACCGGCTACACATGATGCAAATTAGCCAATGAGCTGCTGTCAGTCTGGGTTGCTGCTGCTGCTGCTGCTACTTTTAGACACAGCAGGCAAACCTGGGGCAAGCCGCGTGATGGGAAAGAAGGAGAAGACATTGAGAAAAAGAGAGCAGAGAAAGTGTGGACTGCTGGAAGAACTGCGGTGAACTGGTGAAAGAAAAGTGAAATGACATGCTCAAAGATGGCCCTGCACATTTTGAGTATGTTTGGCTCAACCTGCTGCTGTGAAGCAGGATTCTCCATCATGAACATAATCAAAAATAAATATCGATCCAGGCTTAAAATAAGCACCTTGATATGTGCTTTAGAATGGCTTTGACACAATTCAAACTTAGGTTTAAAACTTTGCAGGGCAGCATAGAGCCCACTGCTCTCATTAAGCCAGGCATCCCCAAACTCGGTCCTCAAGGCCCCCTGTGCTGCAGGTTTTAGAGGTTTCTCTGCTTCAGCACAGCTGGTTATAATGATTGCAGTAGACCAAAAGCCTGTTAATCAGCTTTCAATTAAAATCAGCTGTGCTGGAGCAAGGAAACCTCTGAAACCTGCAGGACAGGGGACCTTGAGGACCGAGTTTGGGGATGCCTGCATTAAGCCATAAAAAAAATTATGTGAATCAGAAAATTGTACCAAACTGAACGATGTTTGTTCTCTACTTAATTTTTTATATATATATATATATATATATATATATATATATATATATAAATAAATGTATTCTGATCTTTACTGGTTGTTGATTTTCTTTCGGACCCAGCTAATTTCTAATTGGTTACCCCTGATTTAGAGGAGAGTTATTGGTCCCCCCCTTTAGCCCTCCCTTAGGGGCGCCCCTGGCAGCCTCTAAAGGTGACACAGATTATCAGACCGCCTGTGTTTTCATTTACTTACATGGTCCTGGTTCCGCTCGTTTCCAGGCAGTGCTGTGCGTAAAGACATTGTTCCTCCCTGAGTGAGTCCTCCAGGTGATAAATTAAATAGCGTGCAGAGTTTATTTCTCCCAACTTGCTTAAAACGGAGAGAAAAAAAATCCAGCCAAGCTTGGAGAAGAGAAGCAGGAGGACAGCTTCAATCCTTTGCAATCCTCATTCCTACAGTCCGTGAAGGCAGCGCAGGTCACCCAGACGGTGATCCAGATTAAAGTGATGCGTTAAAAACAAACCGGTATCATCCACGTCCACCTCATATTCCAGAGAAAATCACCACCCCCTGCTTCTAAATTAGCTTTCCACTTTCCTCCCCCCCTGAACCCCCCCTCACAGACCCTACCGGATCATTGCTCTAGAACCCGGCAAATCCTGCTGATCATCGGTTTACATTCAGCTGCATCATGCTGAAGCGACGAGGACGAACAACCGCTGAGGTTAAAATAAAAAAACTTACAGGAGGCTGATTCAGGTGCAAAAACCGGCAGTTGGTGCCCACCGTTAGCTAGCTAATGGGGGTTTAATGAGCTCCGATAAATTAGCCCGTTAAATAGAACCAAACCCGGCTGAGACACAGTTTCTGGAAGTCGGCGGACAGCCACGGCCTCGGGATGTAAATCATTGACCAACTGCGGGTGTGAGAAAGGAAAGCGGCCGCCTCTCACTCAGTCCTTTCCCTGGCTCCTCTCTGCGGTCCAACCCGCCCTGTGGCTCTTCTCATTGTCGCGGTGAAATAAAACACGTCGGAGTGGGAACTCTGTGTCCAGGCGGTGTCAAAAACATTATTTGTTGCTATAAGATGGTTAAAAAAAAAGACGAATGAAAACGGAACCTTCCTATGTCAAGCTTTGAAGAGCCTCGGTGACAATAAGGGAGGGAGGGAGGGACGTCAGCAACAACAGGCAGGGCTGCTGCTTCACTCACGGTGCCTTCAGGTGCCGCGCAGAAAATTGGACAGACGGCATGGAAAGCTATTGTTGCGTTTAATTGATGCTCGGACGCGCGAGTTTCCGATTTTAACGGTGGAAGCTAAATGAAATCTGCATTAGAATAATCCTGAAGGTTGGAATTCCATTCTTTTGAATATCAATTGATTTATTTATCCAAAACATACACTGAACGAGTTGATAAAGAAATGCATTTAATTTCATAATCTAATTCATGTTACATTTTTAGATATAGGCCTATGTATGGATTCAAATACATCAAAATGCAATAGAACAATGTGAAAGAAAGTCACTATTGGGGTAAATGTAAACAAATCAACAAATTAGCAAAGGTTATGGCACTAAATTTATAACAGCTGCAACCAATGGGGGTCAAAACAGAGGGCCAATAAACTAAAACACAGTTTGAGTGAATCAATAAACAATTAATATGCATAACTAACGTGTTGAATTCATCAACCATGACAGAAGACATGTTTGAGTGTGGTAATTGAATTTTTGACTACTTGTCCTATCAGATGGAGGTCAGGGCTTTCTGCAGGCCAGTCAAACACATCCACACCTAACTTTCTCATTCATGTCTCTACCAGCCTTACTTTATGCAGTTATGATGGAGGAGGAAACTGGGCGTATCCAAACTGTTCCCAGAAAGGTGTGGCAAGGAATTGTCCAAATTGTCTTCTGTTTAAGCTTGTAGAATCCCTTTCACTGGAACTAAGGTACCAAGGCATCCAGTTCTCCTGGCTAGCACCAAACCCAGACTTATCCATCAGTTTGTCATATAGAGAAGCAGAGTTCATCACTCTGGATAACCCACCTCCACCATCCAAGAATCCAGTGGTTGACTGCTCTCCACAGCTGCATCTGATGCTTTTATTGCACTATACAGTATGGCTTGGCTGCAGCTGGTGGGCCATGAAAGCCAACCCATGAAGCTCCCTATTCTTTGTTCTTGAGCTGGTCTTAAGGCCACATAAAAGTCAGCATCAGTCTCTTCCACCTGATATCACAGATGATAGTGGTATAATCAGAAGCAAGAATATTGAACAACTGGACTTTTACATTCCCTTTTTCTGGAATTCATTGCAGATGTTTCTAAAAACAGTTTGCATGCTTAGAAAACCTGATTCCCATTATTTTAAACAATGAGGTACTATTTTTGGCATTATAGAGAAACTCTGGATATCAGCTGCAACGGCATAAGGTCTGCCATGGATATCGGCCCAAATTTCTACTCTCTTAAATGTACATCCCTAATTAATTATATTTTGCTGAAAGGAAAAAAAAAAGTTTATTTCTGTTAATTTCCCCAACTTCTGACAGTTTAACATAGTTTATACCCACTGCTAGAAAAAAAAAAGTACCTTAAACATTTAAAACTATTTTTACAATATGACGCCTAAATACGAGTACATAATTTACTCTCATAGATGATTTTCTTTTTTATAATAAATGCAAGATTGCAACCATTAGGAGAAAATGTATACACAAACACCTGCTGATTTAATGTGTTACTGTAGCAATCTGAAAAGGTTTATCAAATTTAAACTCAAACAGAAAGGATTGAAACAGAGACTCTGATGGAATTAAATTCAATCCGGGAAGTGTTTTTTTATTTTCCAAAATACAGACACAGTTATCTCAAACACGGAGCCAAACTGGATTAGAAGTGACTAAAGCAGAATATCATTTTAAGCGCCTGACCTCAAGCCTGTCCATGGTTCATCGGTTATGCATTAAATTTAATCAATCACCCAGAATAAGAATAATCTAATAATACAGAAACTAAATGATAAATCTCTGTTGTTGGCTGATGTATTTAAACTTCATGCCTTGCTCGATTACTAAGATATTGTAATTCTTTAATTAGATAAAGAATTTGGAATCTAATAAACTCATCTGGAGATCCCTCAGTAAAGCTTTCAGAACAATTAGGAGAGATGAGAATATTGAGCTTGATTAGATTTATTATAGCAAAAAAAGATCTTACCTGGACAGAAGTGAACATGTTGGAGCGTATCCAAGGCCTCATCGCTCCTCAGTAGCCGCACACTTCCCAGTTATTCCTGAGAGCCCCGCAGACTGAAGGGAGCAGAGGATGGTGGGACAACATGCAGCGGGGCAGAGCTCTGCTGTCGTAACGGCTGCAGGATCGATGCCGTAAAAATCAACTGCAGAGTTTCAGCCACCGAGTTTGAACACAGTGTTTCTGAGAACATCATCTGCATCACGGTCCGGTCAGCTGTGAATAAACTAATTAAAAGGAAAAAGCCTGAACCTGTCGATACTTTAATGGGATTTAGAAAAGACGAGGATGTGGTGGTCTGTTCCTATTGGTCTTTACACTCATTTCTAAATGTAGAAAGCCGTCAGATTTGTGCAAATCGGAACACATCAGCAGGAATGGATCCAACTACAAACCACAGCAGATATAAAGGAAACCAAAGCATACACTACATGGCTCACTGTTCTAGTTGGCATGGGAGGTTCTAAACGGGGGCCAACAGGGGTCAGCGGCTCTGAAGAACTGGTCCAGGCCCCTGTAGTGAAGACATAATAATAGATTTTATAATAAACAAATAACAGCCACACACATATATATAGACAGTAAATGATAACTTCCTTGGAACAGTTTTATTCTAACAATGATGGGAGAATTAAGATGTTGCACTTTTAGCTCAAGTCATATTAAGGTTTTCTTCTATTATATCTGAGGTTTCCAGAGCTGATTCTCTTCAAACAATGATCCATTGCCCTGTTTGTTTCATCCTTTCGTTAAGTTTCCCCCATGAAAATAAAAAATGGCCCCACCCTGCTTCCTGTGCTAAATTTGGTCTAGAACCACCTCTCCTGGACACATCTTTAGCTTAGATAGAATAATGCAAACAAATTTTCTAGGCTGAGAACACAGGCCTACTGAGCTCAACCCCAATAAGCTGGTGATAATAGGTGCTGTCTCTGCCAATCCTCGCTGCAGTTGCTCTGACGATGCCCTGACCTGTAATCTGGAAGGGATTACAGCCGGTTTGACCTACTGTACACCCGTTGCCTGTTCCTGCAGTCCATTTAGATAGCTCCTGATGTCATTCATCAGGGATTTTAAAATAAGTGTAGCACAAACTGAAAAACACAAATGTTCCTCACTTTAGTGAGAACTTGGCAGCTTGTGTTTTATATGTAAAAAAAAAAATAATAATAATAATAATTTCTTCATTCCAAAGTGATAAAACAAACAAGAGGCAAACAGCTGGATAAAATGGAGAAAATTATCACTATTTTAAAATAATCATAGAAATAACACTAACATCAAAGAAACTGAGGGAATCCCAGTAAGAGTAAAACACCTGTGCCCTCTACTGGTAGGTGAGAATATAGCATTATTCAAGATACTAGCACAGCATCCAGTTTGGAGCACTGATCTCTATTTATTCACTGGTTTGCTGATAGTAGGGGGTTGAAGTAAAGCCACTGGCCGCCATATTGGTAGTCCCTAGTAAGACCGGTCTAAGTGTAAACAATATGTGCATTACAGCATCGAACAGCAAGGATTTTCTCATTTTCAGGGGGACTTAAGACTTTTACAATAAAGATAAATTCATCACTTGCTATTTTATAGCATAACTAGATTACTTTAACTTCTAATAAAAAAAAATAGGCACACCACATTAAATAGTCAGTATGAAGTCTCTAAATCATGTAATATAACATATTATACAAATCCATCACAACAAAATGAATGGTAATTTAGCATAATACTCAAGTGCCAAATGTGCTAAATTGATTATGTACATGTAATATTCATGTATTGATGACATTATTGTTGTTATATTACATTTAATTTACATCAAGACTGAATTACAAGTACATGTCTGCTAATGCTATAGTATTTTCCTATTTGCTAATTGTGCATGAATGAAGCCATATACCTTTATGCTGTGTCTGTACATCAGCCTTTAAAAATGTTAGAGTTGCTTTTTTTCAACAATATAACATGCAATATATTTCATGACTTTTTCAAATGACAAATGCAACAAACATTACAAAAACGACAGCGTCATCCACTTAATATAGAATTACTACCTTGACATTTCACAGTAAATGACTTTCTATTTTCTAACATTAGACACAATGTCAATGACTAACTCAGACAATGTCTTCCAGGCAGCCTGAGATAGCCAGAATAATGTTGGCCTACATACGTACTATACTGTAGGATACATTGGTGTATATATGGATTTTTCTTTGTTAGTACATCTACTGACAGTGAAATTACCTGTGGAACGTCTTCCCACAGCTGGCAAACTGCTTGTTTTTGCAGCCAAATGCTACATATGTAGGCATTTTTACTGCACATCTCCGTGGGAGTGGGGAGTACCAACATGCTGGCCGGTGGCTTCACTTTTTTCAGGCAATCAGCATTTCAGTGAATAAATAGAGATCAGTGGTTTGGAGTGAAAAAGCAAACCAAACAATATGGCAAGCAGAGAATTTATCTGCAGATTATCACATAGTTAGAATACAAATAGACAAAAATACACAAAACCCAGAGCAGGTGGTCAAGTATGGACAAAAACTGTTACCCAAGCACACCAGGAATTGTTAAGTAAATCATTTTATTTTCATTTGTAAAGAGCTGGGAGACGTTTCCCAGTCAGGTCTTTAGCTCTTACCCATATGCTTTCTATAGTATTAAGATCAGAACTTTGCAATGGCCTCTGTTCCTTAAGTCATTTAATGACAAACCAGTGTGCATTATAAGGGTCATTGCTCAGTTGGCACCAAACCGTTACTTGAGGTTTTGGGATATCTCTCAGTACATTCACATTTTAAAGTTATTTTCTTAAGGAAACATCTACTTTGCAAAGTGCACCACTTCCTCCAGCAGCAAAACACACACAGAAAATTATGTGGCATCCAATTTATGTCACATTTTGTTGCAGTGCAAGCCACATTTATTTATTTATTTATTTATTTATTTATTTATTTATTTATTTATTTATTTATTTATTTATTTATTTATTTATTTATTTTAAAGTTTCATCAGACTACTACACATTTGTCCAGAAATCCAAATCTTTATTCAAGCTTTTTGTTGTTGCTTATGGAGTAATGTGTGGCCTTTATGCCCAAAAAGGCAAACTATTTACAGTTTTTTTCTTTATGCTTTTACTCTGATATTGATTCATTTTGCACCAAAAAAGTGTATTCTCTAGAACATAGAAAGTGTCTCCTTTTTTTTATGAAAGTCCCTAGTTGTTTCTACGTGGCTATAGCTCGTTGTTCATCTTGTACAGATCAATGCAGCGACTTCAGGCATCTGGGGATTGTATCTTGTATATTTATTTTCCCAACTGTTCTGGTTGGTTCAAATCCATATGAATCCACAGATGTGCACATGTAGAGAGGAATGGAGCTCACTGGTCAGTTTTCTGCCATTCATCCAAACTTTATCAAGATTAAGAATGTTTACAAATTGGGAAAAAATTATCAGTGAACTCAGCCTTTCTGTCTTAATTTATATTTAGGGGGATAAAAAAAAATGTGTGTGTGTGTGTGTATATATATATATATATATATATATATATATACACACATATATAATATTATGATTTAGTCCGTCAGAAATCTATTAATTTTTTAAAAACTTTTTATTTAAATTAAAGAACATCCGATTGAAGAGTACAAATATGTCAGGGGATGTGCCTTAGCAGACAAGAACAAATATATACCATAGCAAGAGGGACAGAAAAACAAACAAAACATAAATGCCAGTATATATAGATATATATTTTCTATGATAATAAGCTGTTCAGAATTGAAAGTTGAAAACAAATTAATTTGTTGTTGCTTTTCTGTTTGTGAATCGAGGTTTGACTTTTGTTTAAGTCAAGGAATTTCTGTAGGATAACTAAAAGATTGATAAAGAAAATCTTTGGATACTCTTAAGCAGCCGCTTCCACTAATAATGGCCATTTAATGGTTTATCACATGCAAAACGGGTGCAGCCCATTTTACTCTACAGCTGAAAACCAGACAGAATGTATTTTCCTACAGCAGCTGAAAATCTAAAATATTTGAATCCACATTGTAACAGAAATGTTGCTAGAAAGTTTTAGAGTGTGGACACTACAAGAAGAAACTAAGAAAGATCACATGAAGTGCAGTTCACAATAACGCCAGACTTACATTTTTCAGGTAGTGTTTGGCAGGATAAACCCTGTGAATGTTGTACATTTGATAATAGGGAGAAAGTGATGCCAGAACCATTTTAAAAGAGTTCTGGAGGTGACCACCAGGAGTCTCCTTTTCTCTTCACTGATGCTGCATGATGCTGTGCAGAGGGCACAGATGTTTTACTCTTTCTGGGATTCAGTCAGTTTCTCTGATGTTAGTGTGGCAGTAAAAAGTTTAGAAAATATGTTTTCCCCTTTATTTCTATTATTTTAAAATGTTGTGAATTGGACTTTTTCTACCTCCTTTTTTCTCTTAGTATTTTTTTTTTTTTTTTGAGAGACACAGATGCATCTGCAGGACAAAGAAACTGAAAAAAACCCCACAGAGAATATTTTCTGCTTCCGCACCTGCAGAGCAAAACTCTTCAGTCATCTAGGAAGATCAGTCGGGTCCGGTTTTACCAGAACACAGCTTAAAGGCAGCACTGTTTTCAAGTAAGAGGTAAGATTGGATTTAAAACTATTTAAAAATGAACTCACATTGATGTTATACACATATAAAAATATTAGCATACACATAAATGCTGAAACTCTCTGTATTTCAAACATATATATATATATATATATATATATATATATATATATATATATATATATATATATATATATATATATATATATATATATATATATATATATATATATATATATGTACATATATGTACATATATAAATCTGTATGTATATATATGTATATTTTACATGTATATATATGAATATATATGTGTGTTAAAAAGTGAAAGAAGACTTTAATAAATGTTTTTCAATGACTTTTTTTGTATTTAGATGTTTCGATGTGCATTGCTGCAGCTGATGATGCTGGCAGCTCTAACTCTGGCCTCTCTGGGCCTGCTGGCCTGGGCGTCGGACCTCTGCCCGGCCCGCTGCCAATGCTCTGAGAACCAAACCACTGTTACATGTCATGGTAAAGGACTGAGCCAGATACCCCCACTGCCAGCAGGAACATTGCAGTTGTTCATCTCGCACAACAAGATCAAGGAGATACCTGAACACGGGCTGAACGAACTGCAGGTACAGAGCTGCACTCTGTTTTCGTGATGAATGCAGGTTATTGTGGCTTTTTGGTTAAAGGCTGCAGCCGGGTTCTCTGTACAAGCATAGAAAGCAAAACCTTCTGAAACTAGCTGACACACATACTGCAGTGGCAAAAGGTCTAGGCAGTGAAACGCTTTCTGGTGTTTTTTAGACTTTCTAGAGTTGGTTCTTTATAACTAAAGCTGTTCTCTCTGACGTGCTGGATGTGATCAAAACCTGACTTGGGGCTCAAAGTACATCAAACTTTGCTGTTTTTTGTTTCCCTACTTCCCTTCTTTTTAAATCTTCTTAGTCATTTAATTACTTTACACTTCGGGCTCCACCATGATGAAAATCCTCAAGATAATCACCAAACTGTCCATGTCGAGGCTGAGAATTTGACCTAACTCTTTATGCATGGCAGTGTTCTTCAGCAGAACTAGGAGCAATTCCATGTCACACTTGGTTTAGATCAGGTTTCTTTATTGTTGGGTCCCGTTTGTTCCATTATCCTTTCCAAAACGATCAGGAGGATTTCCAATCTCCTGCAGTCCACGTTGTTCTTCCTGGAAAGTTTTAGGATGTTTGTAGTTGCAAAGAAGTACCTTTCTCCTTGCTCTTCTACTATCTACAAAGGTTGTTTTTTTTTTGTTTTTACTGCACTGTTTTTCTGACAGTAGGCTGACAGGAAATGATGGTATGAGAAAGGGGGAAGGACATGTGGCAAAGGACCACAGGTTGGTTTCTAACCCGGGTCGGTCACATCAAGGACTAAACACTAAGCACTGTGTCACCTGCACAGCCTGTACAAAAGTTTTGCCCTTACTGTCGATGCGGGTGCATTTGTGCCAGCTGCTCTGCTCTGGTGAGCATATTTAAGGGATCAAGGTCTGGGATCCCTTAAAAAATATATATTTTTTTTTACTTGAAGGAGATCTTCTTGGTAAGATGAAAGGTTTATTAACTGATGGAAGAGACCAAAACCCTTTCTTCTAATCACACCATACAGACAGAAACCCTATAGATAGAATACATGTTAGAATGGCCTAGTCAAAGTCCAGACCAGAATTAAATCAAGATTGCATGACAATGATGGAAAATTTTTCCAATCTAACAGGGCGAGATGTTTTTGAAAAAAGAGTCTTGTAGAGACACCCAAAAAAAGACATGCAGCTGTTAATGCTGCAGCAGCCGGTTCCAATGAAAACTACTTCAGGGAGGCTAAAGAGACTTTCACACCTTCATATCTACTGTGGATATAAAACTCAATGGTTAGATGTATAGAAATGCAGAGAAAATGTTTGTTTGTTTGTTTTTTGGAATAAAACTCACTTCACTGAAATTCTTTAAGCAGACATTTGGCTTGATGTGCACAATACTTTTTAAAAATAAGGGCAAACGTTTCACCACAGCTGTAGATCACAACAGCCTGTTTATTCCAACATCATGAGTAAGAAATGTAGAAATGTGTATCTAGGTGTTAAAAACATCTCTAACCTGCTTCCTGTGCAAACTTTAGGTCCTGGACCTCAGACAGAACCAGCTTGGTGGCTTTCTAAAACTCAACCCAGTTTGGCCCAGTATGGCCCAGTTAACAAGACTGCTCCTTCGTGACAACGCTCTGACATCACTGCATTGGGGGCAGTTCCTAAACTGTCCCTCTCTTGTCTTCTTGGATCTGAGTAAGAACCGGATCAAGCATCTAACAGAAGGATTCCTCAGCGACTTAGCTAGTCTAAAGACGCTGCTTCTGAGCCACAACCAGATCGAAACGCTGCAGGAGGGGGCGCTGGATGGAGCCCTCGGACTCACTGAGCTCTGTCTGGACTTTAACAGTTTAAGGCAAATAGAGGTTGGCGTCTTCATGAAATCCAAGAGACTGGAGAAGCTTGTTCTGTCTAACAACCAGATCATACAAGTTGGAGAAGCCACTTTCAGAGGAGCAGTGGGTCTTAAACATCTTGATCTGAGTGGTAACCGGCTGCAGGCTGTTCCATCGGAGGCGCTGAGGGATTTAAAGAAGCTTCAGCTTCTGAATTTGGGGCTAAACCATTTGTTCACCCTTCCAGCAGACGGTTTCCCCTCACTGACTCAGCTGCTTCATCTCTGCTTGAAAAGAAACAACCTGACCAGTCTGCCGGAGAGCTCCCTCTCAGGTCTGGTTAATCTGAGCGAGCTGGATCTCAGTCAAAACTTTCTATCTTCTCTTCCTGCTGATGTTTTTAGAGACCTGGTCAACCTCAACCTTCTGGATCTGTACATGAACCGACTGACAGAACTTCCCCCTGATGTTTTCAGAAACTTAATCAATCTGTCAGAGCTGCGGCTGGATGGAAACAACATCTCCACACTCCTGTCTGGGGTTTTTCACACGCTAGTCAAACTACAAGACTTAGAGTTGTCTCATAACCACATCCTGGAACTCCATCCTGCCCTGTTCACCAACCTCATGTCTCTGCAGAACCTTCAATTGGCTCACAACCATCTAAAGCAACTTCCTGAGGGCCTTTTTCACAAGCTGCAGGCCCTCAAAGAGCTGCACCTGGATGATAACCACATCAGTTCCCTCCACCCATCAGTCTTCCATGGATTAATAAGAGCAACCACAGTGAGCCTCTCCAACAACCAGCTTTCATCTCTACATCCTGACCAGTTCAGGGATCTTTCTGGGTTAAAAGAGTTAAAATTGGACAGAAACCAGATTGTTAAACTCCCCTCTAACTTGTTCACCACTCTTGGAAAACTTGCAACACTAGATATGGGCAACAATAACCTCACTGAGCTGTCTTTCCACAGCTTTGAAGGGCTGAAGAAACTTAAAAATCTGCGAATGAGCTTCAATCCGCTTCAGAGTGTTTGTCGCAATGCCTTCAAGAACCTCGGCAAGCTCCGCACTCTTCTGCTGCAGAGCAACAGCCTGGAGAGCTTACATCCGGAGCTCTTTGAACCACTAACAAAGCTAAAAGAACTGAACCTGGATGGAAATAAGCTGGCCCACCTGGATCCTGGGGTCTTTCAAGGGCTTAAAGACCTCCAGGAGCTAAGTCTAAAGTCAAACCAGCTTAGGTCCCTGCAGAAAGAGACTCTGGACCCTCTAAAAGGATTGAAAAGCATCTACCTCTCAGATAATTTGTGGAATTGCAAATATAGCAGTATATTCTACCTATGCAACTGGGTCACCGTGCACAGAGAAAAAGTGAGCGATAAGCCCGCCTGCTACTCCCCCTCCAGGACTGAGCGCCCTCCTCCCCCACAGTCACCGCGCCTCTTACTGGATTACTGTGCTGCAGCTGCTGCACGATGCCCTGCTTTGCTTCCTCTAGAACTGCTGAGCGTGCTCGCACCTTCTCTCATTGCTGCCGCCTTCTGTCACCTATGAAGTGGTCCAAACTTTCCGTACGCCCTCTTCCTTATTTGTCTGCACTTATCATTAGAATTTACATTGCATTGGCCAAAGAAAAAAATCCAAAATGTCTGTGCAAAACTAAAACTCAATGCAGTGATTAAGTAGTTTGTTCAACCCCTGGCAAAAATTATGGAATCCCCAGCATCGGCGGATGTTGATTGTTTAATTTTTTTTAGAAAAAAAGCAGATCACAGACATGACACTAAAGAAAGTCATTTCGAATGGCAACTGTCTGGCTTTAACAGAAATAAAAAAGAAAATGTGGTAGTCAGTAACAGTTACTTTTTTAGACCCAGCAGAGGAAAAAAATACTAAATCACTCAATTCTGAGGAAAGAATTATGGAATCATGAGAAACAAAAGTCACTCCAACACATCAAAACACCTCTGGCTTTTATAACGGCTTGTAGTCTTTGAGGTATGGACTTAATGAGTTAAATGGTACCCTTCATTAATCTGGCTCCAATTTTCTCTGATTGCTGTTGCCAGATCAGCTCTTTCAGGTTGGATCCTTGTCATGAGGCATTTTATTCAACTTCCACCAAATATTTTCAATTGGATTAAGATCCAGATTATTCTCAGGCCATAACATAAACCTTATGTGTCTTTTTTTCAAGGAATGTTTTCACTAGTGATGTTGTGAGATGAGGCGAGGCTTCAAAGGGGGCGTTTCCGCGAGGTGTGTGTTGAGGCTTGTTTCATTTGGGGGAGGAGTGAAAATAGATGACGTCCGAAGCCTCGCTACCCTACTGCTTCAGGAAGTGGTTCAGCTCGCCCGGAACTTCTGCAGGCATTTAAACAGCCTCTGTGTTCAATCAGGTGTGGGAGTTTGTAGTTGAATAGAGTTTGGATATAAACTGAGAATAGATTGGTTGGAAAAACAACTAATCTAGTTGATTAAAACTAGTTTGGTTAGATTAAACAATGTAATGATCAAAATCTGAGCGAGCCACTGGTTACAAATGTAATGGGTTTTAAGTAGTACCTTCCTCAAGAGTTGCCACCTTGCTAGTGGCTTTTAGCTGTAAGAGGTTGTTGCTTCAGTACTTACCTCAGACTTTTGAAAGTTGCAATAATACTTCACAAGTATTTGGGCTAAAGTTACTCATTTTTATTGTTTTGCCCTAGTATAAATATAGATTGGGTAAAAATACTACCAAATTAGAATTAGACATCATCATTTGCACTTTCACTGTCTGCTTGAGCTTATTTAACTAAAATGGCAGAAAAACAGAGAACCTCAAATTATTTTTCTCTTCTAAGACATTTTACACACAAACAAACTTACGAAACGTTTTATTAAACAGACAAATCATTATAAATTTCAAACGAACTTAAACGGGGAAAAAATACACGAAGAACTGCAAAAAAATCGCAGATTATATTTCTAACCGTAGTTCTGCCCTTCACCAGTAGGTGGTGACATGTTTACATGAAGCTTCATGAACTGCGGGGATCGTTGAAGCAATTTGGCAAAACATTTCAATGTTTCGTGAGGCTTCACCATCACTATTTTTCACAGTTTTCGCTCTATAACAAAATGCATCATCATGTTGAAAATGACTTCATCATCCACAAACATCCTTTCAACTGATGGGATAAGAAAAGTGTCCAAAATCAAATCAAAAGGTACACTTGTGCATTTGTTGAAGATGTAATTACAGCCATCTCCCCAGTGGCTTTAACTGACATGCAGCCCCATGGCATCAATGACTGTGGAAATTTGCTTGTCCTCTTCAGGCAGTGATCTTTATAAGTCTAAGTGGAACGGCACCAGAATAAAAATGTCAGAATCATCCTCTTGCCCAATGCAGATTCCAGATTCATCACTGAATACGACTTTCATCCAGTCATCCATAGTCAATGATTGCTTTTCCTTAGCCCATTGTAACCTCATTTTTTTCTGTTGAGGTGTTAATGATGGCTTTCGTTTAGCTTTCCTTTAGGTGGTTTCTTGCAGTTCGGTCACAGACTTTGATTCCAGTTTCCTCCCATTCGATCTTGTATGTTTTGTTGTGCATTTTTGGTTTTTTAAACATATTGCTTTAAGTTTTCTGCCTTCATGCTTTGATATCTTCCTTGGTCTACCAGTATGTTTGCCTTTAACAAACTTCCCATGTTGTTTGTCCAGATTTTAGAGACAGCTGAATGTGAACAACCAACATCTTTTGCAACATTGCGTGATGATTTACCCTCTTTTAAGAGTTTCATAATCCTATTCTGTGTTTCAACTGACATCTCCTGCTCTAGGTGCAGCAGCTCTTCAAAGTGTGATCCCTCCTTCTTTGATGCAGATTAACAAGCAGGTCCCTTTTGATGCAGTTGTCAGTTTTGGGTATATAAATTTACGGGGTAATACCATAATTATGTCCTCAGAATTGAGTGATTCCATATTTTTTTCCCTTGCTTGGTCTAAAAAAGTGACCGTTACTGACTACCACACTTTTTTTTCTTGATTTATTTTAGTTGTTCTTTAAGCCGGCCATTTGCAAGGATTTTAGTTCTGTGTCATGTCTGTGATCTGCATTTTTTAAACAAAATTAAATTAACTTAACTGAATGAACATCTTTCCAGGCCGGGGATTCCAGAACTTTTGCCGGGGGTTGTAGTTGTTTATACCTCTTTAAGGTGCTTACATGTTGTCACATCACTACTGTATATTTTTTAGGATTTCAAATGTGGTTTTACAAACAGATTGTAATAAGTGTGTGGTATTGATTTGTATATGTTGATTTTAAATCAGTGCTGTGATTGTTGTCCAAAGTGCGGCTCTCAGGCCATCTGCAGCCGCCAGAAAGATTTGTCTGTGAACACAACACAAGAATGGTTCCTGTTTACTTTTTGTTTTTACTTTAGGGCGATAACTTTCAGGAGACAGGTAAAAGGTTTAACTCCCCCAGGCCAGTAGGTGGCCTGCTCTCGTTCCAACCTTCAATTGTACCTTTTGCCAGTTTTGCCAGGTCTGCCAATGCTAGTGCTAACTTTGGTTAACATTTGCAACCTCCATGTGGCTGTTGAGCTCATAGACATTATATATGTAGAAGCCTCATTGGATGCTGGCCGACGTGACTAGAGGGCAGCCATCTTTGATCAGACCACAGTTCAGACAGCTGCTGTCAGAATGAATAGGAGGCGCCTTAAATCTCATTTTAGTAACATGAAAGACGACTAAGAGATAATATTAAAAGAATCTCTTATGTCAAAACCCCTTAAAAGACCAAAACTAAATTTTTAATTATCTTTCAGTTAGATAACACATATTCAGATTAAAAGTTTTTTAAACTGAACTCAAACTGGATGAAATATATGCAAAGCAATATATTTTGCAAATAAATATTAATATGATGAATTACATTTTATATTAATAAGATTATGTTTTACAAATATTATATATTTATATAGAATATTATTATTCAGTAATTTAAAGTATTGCTCTTTGATAATGAGTATTATGATCTATTGAACAAAATTAGTTTTAATGTAATTTACAAAATAGTAGAGTTATTATATATATATATATATATATATATATATATATATATATATATATATATATATATATATATATATATATTATATGTTAATCTTTATTTTTTGTCATTGTCAGGACTTTTTTGTCAAATCAAGTGAATGCAAAATTGATGTGTCTTACTAAAGGCTTTTAGTCCTTATAAGTTTGTCTAAATTTTTTCCATATATATATATATATATATTAAACATATTTTATTTGTTATTTTGTTTACACAAGTGTAAAACATATAAGACCCAGATTGGCTTCTTTTTTTTTATTATTTTCTTTGACTTGAATCTGAGAAATGCAATCCCAAGAAAAGCCATTTTCACTCCATGGCAGAGATACTAGGATTCGGTCTGAGATCCATCTCCTGTAACTTCAACCTAACCAGAGGTTAATATTTATATATTTTGGACCCATCAAAATTGATAAAGGAATTATTTATTTTGGGGTGGTGGTGGTCTGGTGTTTAGAGGAGTGTGCTTCTGCTCTGAGAAGGTTGCAAGTACCTGGTTCAATCCCCACAGCCTCCACCCTTGGTCCCTGAGCAAGACCCTTAACCCCACACGGCTCCCAGGGCGCCACACAGTGGCAGCCCACTGCTCCCTGAGGGGATTGGATTTAATGCAGAGGTGAATTTCTCCAGTGTGAGATCATTAAAGGTAAATTATTACATTTTTTTTCAGTAAAATTAATACTTTTATTCTACACCATTGTATATGTTATGTAGATGTACTGTATTCGTTTTGAAAAATCTAGTTTAAATGATGCAAGAATATGAGTCTCAAGATTCACATTTTTTATTTTGCTATCATGAAGAAACTGGAAACAGGCAACAACTTTCACTCAGAGTCTAAACTATCCAAAGACATTAAGTGTTTTTAAAGACACTCTCTCCTTTTGCTCACGTTGTGGAGCAAAACCTAAAGCAGTAGTGCCAAAGTCCTGAAGAGTCACCATCCTGCAGGTTTTACATGCATCCCTGCTTCAACACAATGAATCAACGGAATGGCTGGTGACCAGGCCTCAGCAGAGCTGAAGACTGGTGAGGGAATTAAGTTATGTAATTAAGTGTTGGAAAAGTGATGCATCTAAGGCCCCGTCCACACGAAGTCAAAACGAACACGAAACGCTGATTTTTTCCAAAACGTTTGCCGTAAAGACGGAGACGTAAAATAAATGTGAGCGTCCACACGAATGCATGAAAACGCTGCAAAATGTATGCCAGGCCTGTAAGTGGCGCTGTGGTGCCAAAGCAAAAATAAGCGACGAAATGTTGGGCATGCGCACTAATATTTATACATGGTTGCCCTGCGGGTCCATTTTCGTGGTTAAGTCAAATTCAGGTGCTGAACTATGTCGTCGATATTGCTCTGTTCTTCCTGGAGATATTCCAGAAGAAGATTCTGTTGTAAGCCCGACAGCAGGGTGAGTAGCATTAGCAGCAACGGCGCCATTGTTGTTGTGATACTGGTCGCGCATGCGTGTGTAGAGGCGACGCTATGACGCATGCGTGTAAAAAAAAATATGCGGTTAGAGCGTAAAGATGGAAACGCGAAAACGGCGTTTCGAAATCTTCCCACTCTGAAGGCTGAATAAAAAAAAGATCGTTTACAGACCCCCGAAACGCCGGCTTCGTGTGGATGAGAGGCTGGTTTGGTGAAAAATTTGTGCGTTTAGGCCAGGGTTCGTCTTCGTGTGGACGGGGCCTATAAGCTGAATGATGGTAGCTCCCATGGACAGGAGCTGAGCACCCCCTTTTTTTTCTTTTTATTTTTAAAGTTTTTGATTAAATTCTGAGGTTTAAAAAAAAAAAAGTACTGTAATTTTTCCTTTAATCTTTTGTTACTTATCTGCTGTTTATACCTCTGTTATGTTTATTTGTGAAATTTAGCTCTCTCAGCTTGGTTTTGTACTTAGTCTGTTAATATCATGAAAGAGGAATTCTTAGTTTGTAACTCATCTGTTCCAATCCAACTTGAATAAATGTCAGTCCCTTCATTTTACCATGTGAGGAAATCTATAATAGTTTAATCTTTTACACCCAACTGTTGTCGAATACAGAAGCCTGATGCTGCATTTCACCTCAAAAAAAGAGGTTTAATGAATCTATAGAAGCAAAAAAAAAAAGGTGACCTGTAACTCACCTCAGTATAAAAACAACCACACCCCCAGACTAGGTCTGAAAAAAAGCACTGAAGTGGTTTGGTGCCAACAGACCTTGAAGGGTCAGAGTAGAAATAAGCCATGGGGCTCTATACAGATTTGGTCAGGACACGAGTAACTTGCTGCTAGCTTAGCCTAGCCTAACTCTGCCTTATGAGCAGAGGGACGCTGGTTATTATGCTGAGGAGGATTTATTTGTAAACTCCCCATGTCACTGGAGGTTAAGGGGGGCTTCATTGAGCCCTGTGGGCTGGATCTTCATTTCGAGATGCTTGCATCAAGGCGCTTATTCAGCACTACAAGGGAGGTACTAAAACTTTTGGTTTTAGACAAATAATGCAGATCTAAACAAGCTCACATTGAAAAAATGCAGAGAAAAATTAAAACAGCACCAAATGGACCCAGTTTATCTGCATAAAAAGTGGATTTGGGGTGAGTTAGACTTTAAACAAAGGTAAAGTTGATCCATGCATCCCACTTATTCCATCAGGGTCACAGTGGGGTGCTGGTGCCCCTCTCTTGCAATCTATGGGCGTGAGGTGGGGTACATCCTGGACAGGTCACCACAGAGACACAAAACCATTCACACACACACCTAAGGATAATTTAGAGGAGCCAATTAACCTAACAGTCATGTTTTTGGACTGTGGGAGGATGCTGGAGTACCTGGAGAGAAGCCAAGCATGTTAGAGGAGAACATGCAAACTCTTATGAAAAAAGACCCTGGGCCAGTAATCGGACCCTGAACCTTCTTGCTGAAGGCAACAGTGCTACAAACTGCGCCGCCGCACAGCCCAAGGTCAAGCCCATGATGTATGAATAAAAGTAACCAACAAGAAAAACTCAAGTAAGAATACCTAAAATTTCAGATATGGTTAAAATGTGATCCTAAAAAGTCTCTGACACCATGAAGAAAAAGAGAAATACATTTGGAAACCCGGTTTTTATGCCAAAAATGTTTATAACAGCAGCAGATTTTGACAAAGCAAGGATGGCAACAATGTAAATGTTAACAAAATAGTAAAACTGAGTCACTATTTCCAGAGATTTACGCGGTGTGTCAGAAATTGGACTGTTTTTTTTCACAGAGCGTCAGATTCACCAGAGCCTGGAAAAGGTTCAACACATATTATGTTTAGAGAACTGATCACAAAAACATTAAAGGATCAATCTGAAAATTAAAACCTTTAAAACACTTAAGCTGGGGCTTCTAGTCCCTTAGGAAAACAGTTAAGTCTACATGTGAAGAGTTCGGCTAATGACTGAATTATTTCAAGACTGAGTTAAACGCCTGTTTCCTGCAGCCAGCTGCCTAGAAACATGTTGAGGAACCGATTACCGCTGCAAAAGTAAAAAACAAATAACATTTTGGCTTTTTTTCTGAATGGGCTGTTGATGAGTCAGCATTGTGAACGTAACATCTTCCCAATTTTTATTATTTAACAGAAGAAATCTTTTACAGCTCACGTAAAACCAAATACAGTGTTTCCTGTTAACTTGTTTATCCAACTTGTGCTAAAACAGAATCAGAAAGACACAAAACGGACCCAGAACCTGCTGTTCTGTAAGCCAGGCGGCCAGAAGGCGGTTCCGAAGTCTGGGAAAAGTTCGGTCACAAATTCGTATCACACGTAGAAACACTTGTGATCCTTGAGGTTCCTCAGGTAGGAGAAGCTCTTCCCACACTTGTCGCATATGAACTGTTTCTCTCCGGTGTGGATCTGCTGGTGAGCCTTCAGACTGTTGCCCTGGTTGAAGCAGCGTCCGCAGATGTCGCAGCTGAACGGCTTCTCGCCCGTGTGGATGCGCTGGTGCCTTTTCA